CCCCCCCCCCCTTGTGCTGCGATTGACGACCCATAAAAAAAACCATCTAACCCCGCTCTTTTTCTCTCTCTCCTCTTCTTTCCTTCCACCCTTCATCTTCCCATACTTGCTGCCCCTCCTATTCTTTCTTCCTTCTTTCTCCATTCTCTTCCGCTCCCCCCTTCTTCAAGGTCGCCGATGCCCTTCAGATCTGAGCCGAGGAGCATCACCGCTGCCCTTCAGATCTTCTACAGTCCTTCGTCTTTTTTTTTTCTTCTTCTTCCCTTTCGTGTTTTCAAGGTACCAAACTCACCGGCGGCTATCGGAGAAGAAACGCGTGAGGCACATGTGCTGGCAAAGTTAGTGGCAGCGGAGGCGCGTGGCAGTGCATGGAAGGTCGGAAATCGACTTAGAAAGGTGCTCCAACATTGCTACAACAGCCACAACCATAACCAGGTTCTTTCTTTCCGGAGTTGGTACCTTCGGATCTCCTGTCTTCTTTTTTGTCTTCTCTCTTGCGACTTACATAAATTGCTTAGTTTAATAAAGTACTTATTTACCTGTTTGTTTGTTTGTAGTGTCAGTTGGTGCCTTTTAGCCTTAGTTTTTATTCTTTTCGTTTATACTCCTCCCATGCTAGAGTGTTAGTGTAAGCATAGTATACCTTAGATTATAGTGGTTGTTGTGAATGACGGTAGAGTAAGGGCATGCCCTCGGGTGAGGCGGGGGGCAGGGGACAGGGGGCTAGGGTGGTAAGGAAGAAAGAGAGTCTCTAAACTTAGATTTGGGTCTTGGAACATAGGTACATTGACGAGAAAATCTATAGAGTTGGTGACGATTCTCCAAAAGAGGAAGATCAATATAGCATGTGTCCAGGAAACTAGATGGATAGAAACTAAAGTTAAGATGTAAACGGGTACAAACAGTGGTACTCGGGAGGGTTGAGGGGTAAGAATGGAGTAGGTATTTTGATTGATAGGGAACTGAGGGAGAAAGTGGTCGAGGTTAGGAGGATGAACGACATGTTGATGGCTATCAAGAAGGTTGTTGGAGAAGTTACTTTTAACGCAGTTAGTGCTTATGCACTTGAAGCGAGCTTGGACGAAGAGGTCAAGAGGCAATTCAAGGGATCTAGACGAGGTCGTGTAAGTTATTACACACATCGAGAAACTAGTCCTAGGAAGTGATTTCAATGGTCATTTCGGGTCGACCTCAAAGGGGTATGACAATGTTCATGGTGGTTTCGGTTTTAGTGATAGAAATGGAGGAGGAACTTCGTTGTTGGATCTTGTAAAAGCCTTTGACTTGATGATAGCTAACTCAAATTTCTAGAAGAAGGAAGAGAACTTGTCACCTTCTAGAATACACTTGCCAAAACACAAATTGATTACCTACTCCTTAGGAAATGCGATAGATGTGTTTGCAAGTACTGCAAGGTTATCCTGAGTGAGAATCTCACGACTGCATATAGGGTCTTGGTAATTGACTTGGAAACTAAAAGGAAGAGGAACAAGAGGGTTATGCATGGTCAACCAAAGATCAAGTAGGAAGCCTTGACTAAGGATACATCTCATGAGTTAGAGAAAAGTTTGATGGCAATTGGATCTTAGTGAAGTAGTGGGGATGCGAATAGTATGTGGACTAAGACATCGAATTGTACTTTGGAAATAACTATAGAGGTATTAGGGTTTCTCAGGGGACTAATAGTGAATAGAGAGGCGCAAGGGAAAGTGGTAGCTAAGAAGACAGTGCATTTGAAGTTATTGAAGAGCAAAGACGACGAAGAGAAGAGGGCGAATTGGGAGTAGTACAAGCATCAAAGAAGAAGGCAAAGTTAGTAGTTACATTGGCAAAGACTATAGCATTTTGAACGCTTATATAAAGAACTTGGGGACAAAGGCGGGGTAAAAGAAGCTATACATGCTAGCCAAGGTGCAAAGGAAAGGAAGGCACGTGACCTAGGCCAAGTGAAGTGCATAAAATATTAAGGAAGGTAAAGTATTTATGGAAGACTCACATATTATACGAAGATGACAAGTATACTTTCATAAACTCTTAAATGAAGAGGGAATAAGACTATTGTGCTGGTTGATTTAGAGCAGGCAGAGAGTCGACGAGATTTTGTGTATTGTAGGCATATTAAGGTTGAGGAAGTTGAGGGGGTGTCACGACCCAAATCCCATAATAGGTCACGATGGCGCTCAACGATGTTGTTAGGTAAGTCAACGGTGAACTTCCAATTTAATTATCCATTTTAACTTTTAAACATAGATAATTCATTAGATAAATAGAAACTAAATCTAGAACTCATAAAAACATACGCACTGCTTTACCAAAATAATGAGTACGAATAGTACATGAAGCAAAGTGATAGTAACAATAAATACAACTGTGAAAGTCTACTAGAAGCTCCCAAAATCCGGTATCACAAGTGCATGATCCTTCTAGGGAATATACAAAAATCACTACAACTATTGTTTGAAATGAAATAGACAAAAACAATAAATAAGATAGAGGGGGACTCCGGGTTTTGCAGATTGAAGCATGGAAGGCAGCTAACCACTAAGTCTCTGTGATACGTCTACGCGCCCGTGTGACCATTGGATGTACTTGTCTCAGTACCTACACAATCAGTGCAGAAGTGTAGTATGAGTATGTAAATCAACGTGTACCCAGTAAGTATCAGAAGACCAACTATTCCAACTGACAAAAATTACCCTTCGCATGCGGGACCTGTCGATTGCGTTCGTGATGAACAAACTCCCAACCTTCCGCTTTCACGATCCCCAGTCGCATTCGTGAAGGCCATATGCCTTCCAGCCCAGCTCAGCAGCTCCTTTCTTCCTGTCCGTAGCTAAGTTTAACGAAGAAGGACTAGATTATTAATCGCATTCATGAATAGTAAAATCTAAGACCTCCATCGTTCCTTCTTCGCGATCACGGGACATCCTTCGCGATCGCAAAGCACACTTGCACACCAGTTGTTTCAGCCAAGTTTAACTTTGCTCCAGTAGTCCAAAACACACCCGAGACACCCAGGACCTCGTCCAAATGTACCAACAAGTTTATAAACATACTACGGACTTACTCGAAGCCTCAAAACACAAAAAATAACACCTAAACTAAGAATCTCACCTCAAAACCAAATTAATAAACTTTTAAGCTTCAAACTCATTTCATCTAACTCCGAACGCGACGAACCATACTTAGACAAATCAAAATGATGCCGAATTTAACGCATGAGTAGAAATCACATTACGATCCTATTCCAAGCCTTGGAACCCCAAACGGACCTCGATAACACCAAAGTTGTCTTCAAATCAAACTTTGGGAAATTCTAAATCCTTCAAAATGCCAACTTTCAACACTAAGTGCCGAAACGCTTCTGGTCCACCCAAAACTCGATCCGAAAATACGCCCAAGTCCAAAATTATCATACGAACCTATTGGAACCTTCAAATCTTGATTCCGAGATCGTTTACTCAAAGTGTTGACTCAAGTCAAACTTGGCCACCTTAGGCTACTATTATAGAACTAAGTATTCTAAATTCAACCCAAACCCTTCCAAAACCAAACCAACCATACCTGTAAGTCATAAAAAAGTAAAAGCATATACGGGAAGTCTTAAATAGGGGAACATGTATCTAGAAAGTAAAATGACTGGTTGGGTTGCTACATTCTCCACCACTTAAACAAACGTTCGTCTTCGAACGGGTCTAGAATCATACTTGGAGTGCCGAATAAGAGATGCCTACTCCGCATGTCCTCCTCGGTCTCCCAAGTTGTCTCCTTGACTAGTTGACCACTTCACTAGTCCTTCACTACTGAAATCATCTGAGACCTCAACTTGCTGTCACACCCAAACTAGGTGAGGCATGCCTAGCACCCGGTGACGTACTGGTCCGAGAGAACCACTCTCCAACTCTTGAATGCTGGGCGTAACCCAGAACATATATAGGCCAACATGGGTGAACTTTATCATACTATAAGCTATCATGGCCAACATGACCGCAACTCATAATATATCATAGGAGGACAAGCATCATATCCGCTAGCCATCATACTCAAAACATCAATAAATGTTCAGGCCGAGGAGGCCACTATGAGTATCAATACTGGACAACCTAGAAAGAAAACATAAATGAGGTTGACAAGGCCACCAACAAA